CCAAACCGGGGGATAGTGAAGATTAATGTTGATGCCGCGTTCCAATATGAAACACTCTCGGGAGCGAGTGGGGCTGTGGCCCGAGATGATCGAGGAGATTTTATAGCGGCAACAAATTGGTTCTTTCCAGTAGTAACAAGGGTGGACAGCGCTGAACTAATGGCGATCAGGAATGGTCTCTACCTAGCAGCCAATATTGGGTGCAGCACTGTTGTTCTGGAGTCAGATTCTTCATTTGTGATGGACTCATTGAACCAAATCTATGATTATATGGGGCCGGATATAGCTATCATCATGGAGTGTAAGCAACTAATAACAGACTTCGTATCAGTATCATTCAATCACTGCTTTAGAGAAGCTAACCAAGTGGCGGATGAACTAGCAAAGAACTCTTTCATGAAAAGGGTTTCTGGGTTTTGGGACGTGATCCCTGACTTTATTTTCAATCTCATTGTAAACGACATGTCTATTATTTAAGAAATAAAGTCTTATTTACGGTCAATTTTTTTTTTTACTAATCTCTTCCCGTAAAACTATGTTACATACAGATACATGGCATGCCCTTAGTGCTCCACGCCTCCTCTCCGTAAGATTACATTGCACTCCAGGTCGTAAGATTACACTGCACTCCATGCTATCTTAAGTAGTAAACTACGGTACGCCCTCCAGTATCCATAATTTTACCTTCTGTGTGTTGTGTTCCTGCGGGATGGGTGGGGTGAGGAATTAAGGAATTAATAAGAATTCCTCACCCAGATGACGAATAGCGCGTGCCATGCCGGCCCGCGTGCCAGACATGGCCCATTTAGCCCGTGCCATGCCTGGCCCATGGCGGACCGTGCCGGCGTGCTCGCGGGCTGGCCCGTTTAGTCTGGCCCGTTTGGCCACCTATAGCACTTGCTTGCTCCATGACCCACCCCAGCACAACCCAGTCCCCACTCCAAGTCCCCATCTCCAAAGGCACTCCGCCGCCGCCGCCATCCATCTCCGCCGCCGCAACCTACCTATTCCAGCCACCTAGTCCACCCAAGAACTGTAGCCAGCGCTGGCGGAGGACACACGGCATGGAGGAGCCGATGCCCAGACTCACCCACGACCTAATGGCGGAGATCCTCTCTCGCGTTCCCTACAAATCTCTCTGCATCTGCAAGTGCGTCTGCCCGGCCTGGCGCCACCTCATCGCCGACCCCGTCTACAGGAAGAAGATTGTGCAGTCCCTGTCCGGCTTCTTCTACCACACCACCGCCAAACGCGAGGCCGACTCTGCCGAGCCCCGCGGCTTGGCCGTCAACTACGCCGATCTGTCGGCCTCCCCTTGGGCGAGCGTCCCCAGGACCTACCCGCGCCTGCCACTGCCGCCTGACAGCACGGAGTGTTTCTTCACTCTCGAGGATTCCTGCGATGGGCTGTTTCTTACCCGCATTCGGACGGGCACCCCGGAGCTACAGTTTCGCTACATGGTCTCCAATCCAGCTACCAGTGAGTATACTCTGCTGCCCCACTCCGGCTACGCTGGCAACTGCTGAGTGCTGTGGCTCTTACTTGGGCTTGGACAGTGGTGTCTCCACTCAAGAGTTTCATGTGTTCCAGTTTGTGGAATGGGCAGACGAGCACTGGGTTCCCCCGGTTGTGACAGGGGTCAACATTTACTCTTCAGAAACTGGTGCATGGGTAGCAATGGAACCCAAATGGGACATCCAAGTTAGCTTGTGCGGTGGTCCGCTTGGAGTTTTCCTTAAGGGGTGTTTGCACTTGCTCATACATCTTGATGGGTTGGCAATAGTTGATGCACAAGGGCTAAAATGGAGAACCACCCGGTGCCAAATTTCATCGATCCGAGTTCCTCTGGTTTCATCGGAAAATCTGCAGGACAACTGTTTTATATCAACTCTGACGACCGTGAAGAAGGATATGGCTCGCCCCCATTTTCAACTGTATCTGTCTACGTTCTAGTAGTGGGATTTATAACTGGGATGTGTCTCATTTGGATGACGGATGCACGCATTGGATATTGTTGCACAAGCTTTCAAATGTGATTCCAAGGAAGAATTTTTGTCTCAGCCGGCACCTCAAAGTCGTCGGAGTACACCCACATGCCAATATCATCTTTTTGGCCGATTGGAACAATAATGAACTGCTGGCATATGATTTGGATCATCATGAAAGTACAGCTGTACTCCGCATTGAGCGTACCTACTGCGCACATGAGCAATATTTCCCATATGTGCCACTGCTGGCCAGCCTACGGCTCGCAACTCCTAGTTGATGAATGTTCTGCTGATTGAAAATGGGAAGCCATGGACGAGGTGCTCAGTTGGTTGTTGCGTTTTCAAGTGAACTCTTCACAAAGATTCAAACGGAGATGCTGTGTTGTTCATAGAAAATGCCACCTTTAGTTTCAGTTTGATCTGCATTGGTTTTCATTTCTAGTATTTGTCTCGTTGGATGTTTCCCTCATGGATGTGTTACTGTGATTTGTCGTATGCTCTATGCCTTTTGACGAGGCAACAAGTACGGATGTATGAGACATTTCCGTGTGTACCTCTATTGGCTCAGCCAGAATTATTTATGTTCTACTATGGATGTGTACAAGACACTTGGTATGAGTTGTAGAATGTTCTGTGCCTTTTGATGTGCAACGAGTATGAGCTATATGAGGCAGTGAGACACTAGTCTAGTGTGTTCTAATTTGATTTGTTTTGTAATGTTTTACCCGAGTGGCTAAGCAAGAGTTGCTTATGTTCTGATGTGTACACATACAATTCTATCTAGGTGTTTGCATTGCTAAGATTTTCTTGGTCTCTTGTTTTTTCTGGTTTGATGTTATATTCCTAGAGGTTTGCATATGTGTGCATCATGTAATGTGATCATGCTAGGTCAAAAGGTTGAGAAAGCCAGTATCAGAAATGATCATAATCTCTTGATGATGCATGGACAATTTCCTGCTATATTTTTCTTCTAAAGGATTCAAATTGAAACCATGGCTGGGTTATCTAGTTTAATTTTCTGAATCCATGAGTCAATTGTGTTGGGAAACCATCTGTTTAACTCTGCTCCAGCTCCAACAAGTCGGGATGAAATAAAATGTACTAGTCCTGCTTTGTCAGGCTAATCAGAAAAGTCGACTTGCCACTCTGTTTTAGTGGGCTGATCACTCTGTTTTAGAGTAGAAATAAGCATTTTAGAACACATGTTTAGTAAAATAATGGGGTTGGTTTTTCTAGTAGATAAGAATGTGTTAGGGTTACCACTTTTGAGCTGGTGCTTGTTAAGGTTAGCACTTGACACTTATTTTTGCTAGAATTAAAGTAACTGTACTGATGCTAATATTTTATTTAAGGTATAACTACTATAACTTTGTACTCCCTTTTGTTTCTCTAACCTATGTCTTATTGTACTCACTACTTTAGTATATTTTTATTAGTGGCATTGTACTATTTCCTGCCTTTATTAATTATGGCTACACCTTTCTTCGATTGGTTATCTCCTTCCCTCAGGAAACTTCCGTTGAACCTCTTTCCTGGAGAGATTGCAGAGAGGATCCTCAGGAGACTTCCATTGAAGCTCCGAAGGTTGTACTGATTTTCCTCTTGGGCTCGCACTTCAGTGTGAATATTCAGTCAGATATCATATAACCTGGCCAGATCACAGCTACTCTGGAAAATCGAAGTGATGATGCCAAAGTAACATCATCAAACCAGGGGACTATGGAAAAAGATTGGAGACAACTATTGACAATTCAATGTCCTAACAAGATGAAGGCGGTTTTATTTGTCATCTTTGTAATCGAGAGGAAAATGTGGAGCATTGTTTTTTGTAATGCCAATAATGTGTCATAAATATGGAAAGATCCGAAGAAAGATTATGGTATTTGCCTGAAGCTTCAATATTTTGCTCATATCAGGCAATGGTCAGTGGGCTGGATTACTGAAGCATCGGACTTCCACTGCTTGATTTTTGGGCTGGCTGTATGGCACATGTGGAAGAACTTTGTATTGATGTCGTGATGATCCCTTCGCGTTGCTAAAAATATCCAGGCTTATATCGATTTTGTGTCGCTGATTGGCATCAGTTCAGCAGGCTACAGTAGGCGTGAGACGCTGTCGACGTCAACACATAAATATATGATCTCTGCCGCTTGTTGATGATCAATGTGGATGCTGTGATTTTGTTTCAGAACCCTGTTTTGTACTCCTGTGATTTTGGAGTAGTACCTAGCCTCTCGTTCCAGCAAGCAGCATCCTGTGAGGAAGCCTAGTCCAAAATCATGGGAAGATTCTCAAAAAAAAATATATCATGGGAAATGCCCGTTCCAAAAAAAACATGGGAAATGCCTGGAAAAAAAGTAGTAGTACTGATATTTGATTTAAAAATAAGTGACATAATTCATTATGTAAAGGGGAAAATATGAGGTGCATTTGGGAGCATGTACTTCTCTAACTAAATTCATACTGTACATTGTAAAAGTCTCACGTCCAAGTGACTCATGTATGTTTCCAGATTTAAAGTTTATGAAAATCGCAATTTATTTGTGCTCTGTAAAATGTAAAAAATGAAACCAAGCATTTTTCTATGCGACAATGGCTAGTTATTCACTTCAGTTTTTTTATATCCAGACCACAAATTAATAAAAAAATCCACAAAAAATTACTGGTACAAGACCCACTATAAAATCCACACACAGGTTTCTTTTGAAAAAAAATCATATTTTCAGCTCAGCTTTGAAATTTTCTGAAATAAACGGACCAGGTGATCTTCATATCAAAGCAAAGAAAACCTCAAGAAATAAATCAAAGCAAAAAAAAAAGGGGCACCTTTTTTATCTTCATCGTGGGCCTTTTCCCCAATCCGAGACATCAGTCAGTCCCCACTCCGTCGAGTCCCCTGCCCCAACCCCTATAGCCTACCCATTCCAGCCGCCACCCCTTCCAAGCCGTCGTCGCCGCCGCCGCCCATCTGCCGTCGAAACCTACCTATTCCAGCCGCCGCCGTTTCAAGCTATGGAGAATCCGGTGGAGGAGCCGATCTCCAGGCTCACCCGCGACCTAATCGCGGAGATCCTCTCCCGCGTGCCCTACAAATCTCTCTGCATCTGCAAGTGCGTCTGCCCGGCCTGGCGCGACCTCATCGCCGACCCCGTGTACAGGAAGAAGATTCTGCAGTCCCTGGCCGGCTTCTTCTACCGCATCAACGACGAAGCCGCGGCCGAGCCCCGCGGCTTCCCCGGCGTCAACTACGCCGACCTGTCCGCCTTCCCGTGGGCGAGCGTCCCCAGGACCCACCCGCGGCTACCGCTGCCGCCCGACAGCACGGACCGCGTCATGTCCGTCGATGATTCCTGCGATGGACTGTTTCTTGCCCGCATTTCTATTGGGGCTGGCAATTTTCGCTACATGGTCTCCAATCCAGCCAGCGGTGAGTACACTCTGCTGCCCCACAATGGCCACGCCGGCACCAACAGCATTGCTTACCTGGGTTTCGACAGTGGTGCGTCCACTCAAGAGTTCCATGTGTTTGAGTTTCTACACGAATGGTCACACCGGAACTGGGGCTCAAACAAATCCCTGTTTGTGAGAGCAGTGAGGATTTACTCCTCAAAAACTGGTGCATGGGTGGCAATGGAACCCCAATGGGACATCGAAGTCGGCTTGTGCTTTGATCAGCCTGGAGTTTTCTGTAATGGGTGTTTGCACTTGCTCACATATCAGTCCGGGCTGGCGATAGTTGATGCACAAGGGGTAAAATGGAGAACCGTCCTGCTGCCAATACTCGCTGCTAAGGGTTTCTCAGGTTTCATCGGGAAGTCTGCCGGACAGCTACTTTATATCGACCCCCGTGATAGTCAAGGATACAGCTCAAACAGATCTTTGACTATATCAGTTTACGTTCTTAGTGTTGAGATTTATAACTGGGAAGTGTCCCACCTGGACGACGAATGCGTGTACTGGAATATGTTGCGCAAGTTTTCAAATGCAGTTCCAAAGAAGAAGTTTCTCAAAGTCATTGGTGTACACCCACATGCCAATCTGATCTTCATGGCTTATTCAAACAGTGAACTGTTGGCATACGATTTGGATCACCGTGAAAGTACAATTGTATATCACCTTGATCATGACTACCGGACATTTATGCAATTTTTCCCATATGTGCCACTGCTGTCCTGCCTACCATTGGATGGAGGAATACGGCTGGCAACTCCAAATTGATGAATGTTCTGCTGATTGAAGAAAGGGCGGCCATGGGTGAGGTACTCTGTTGCAATTTCAAGTGAAATCTTCACAAAGATTCAAATGGAGATGCTGCGTTGTTTGTAGAAAATGCCAGCTTTCGTTTCCAGATTGATATGTATTCTTTTTCATTTGTAGTATTTGTGTCGCTGAATGTTTCCCTCATGGATGTGTTAGTCTGAGCTGTAGTATGCTCTGTGTCTTTTGATGGGCAACAAGTATGAGACATTTCTGTGTAAGCCAGAATTGTTTATGTTCTAGTTTATGTACACATGCAATCTGAGCCATATGAAAGTGTACGAGACACTTGGTATGTTCTACGCCTTTTGATGTGCAACAAGTAGAGCTGTATGAGATGCTTTAGTGTGTGTTCTATTTTATTTATTTTGATATTTTACCTGAGTGTCTAAGCAAGAGTTGCTTATGTTCTGGTGTTTGCAAGATTTTCTCGGGCTCTTGTTTTTTCTGGTTTGATGCTATATTCATAGAAGTTTGCCTATGTGTGCAGCATGTAAAGTGATCATGCTAACTCAGAAGGTTGAGAAAGGTCAATTTTGATGATTCACATCCCAGTTGGTAAATGTTATAGTATGTCAGAAATGATCATAATATCTTGATGAGGCATGAATAATTTCCTGCTCTGTTTTTTCTTCTTGTAAGGATCCAAATTGAAAGTACGGCTTGATTATCTACTTTAATTTAACAACACTGTTGGTATATCCCTGATCCAAAACCACCATAACTTCATACTGGCTTTTGTTGCTCTAGCCTATGTCTTTTCGTACTCACCCCCTTAGTTTTCCTATTTCTGGCATCCTGTTATTTCCTGCCTTTATTTATTGTAGCTACACTTTTGTTTCTTCGGCTGGTTATCTCCTGCAGGTAACTTCCATTGAACCTCTTTCCTGAAGAGATTCTCAGTATTCCAGCAAGTTCTGAACGTTGTACTGATTTTCTGCCTTGTCCCACACACTAAGATTGGAGCATATTCTAGAAAAACCTAAGTGATGCTGCCAAAGGAGCATCGTCAAATCAAGGGACTATGGAAAAAGCTTGGAGAAAATTATGGTTAATTCAGTGTCCTAACAAGATGGAGGTGGTTTTACGGAGAATGTGGCTCATAATTGCCTTCTTACTGGTATTCAACTTCAAGTGCGATCAGTCACAACAAGGTATGATTGTAATCAAGAGGAATTTGTGGAGCATTGTACTTTGCAATGGCAATATGTTAAAGATATATGGAAAGAGCTGAAGAAAGATTTGGTATTTGCCTGAAGCTTACATTTTTTGTTCATACCAGGCAATGGTCAATGGCTGTATGGCACATGTGTGTGGGAGAACAGGTACCGATGTAGCAATGGTGAGGCACTATCCCACCCTCTTTGCGTTGCTGAAAAAAAATCTAAGGTTATATCGATTTTATCTCGCTAATTGCCATCAGTTCAATAGGCTCGAATAGGCGTGAGACGCCGACGTCAACTCAGAAATATATGATCTCTGCCACTAGAAAGCTTGTTGATGATCAATGTGGTTTCTGCATTTCTTTAGAATCTGGATGCGCTGGTTTCGGAGCAGTAACGTGTGCTCACTTGGGACTGGTGAGCTGTTTGCTGAGGCTTCCTCAGTCGTGTATATTGCCCTCAAGCTCTCAGTTCTTGCTGAAAATACAGGGGTCCAATCGCTTCAGGTGGTTTCTGATTGTCCCTCGGTAATTAATGAAGTCCAACAACAACAAGGCCTCGATAGATCTCTCACCAGTGCGGCGGTGCTATTATCCGTAATATTTAAGAGCAGAGCTAGAAAGTTTATATCCTGTGCACATAGACATGCTGTTCGTAGGTGTAAGGAGGCAGCTCATGTTCTGATCACTCAGTTGTAGAATAGAATTAAGCATTAGTGTATAATGATAGAGTTTTTTTTTCTAGCAGATAAATTTGTTAGTATAGTATGATTTTTTTAGCGGGTGCTTCTTAAGGTAAGCACTTACCACATGCATTTTAGCTAATTAATGTAACTATATTGATGTTTACTGCTTTAATGATTCTCGTAGTAGCATACTGCTATTTCCTGGCTTCCTGCCTTTATTAAGTAGAGTAAGGCTAGACTACTTTTCTTGCGTCCATTGGTTATCTACCTTCTACTGCTTTCTGCAGGTAACTTCCATTGTCAGTGTGTATTCTACTGAATATTGTGAAGCACATTGCCTGCTAAAAACCTTGCATAGCCGTTGAACTGTTCTGCTCCCTCTTACTAGTAATTACCTACAGTTATATCCTTAGTCCTTGATAGAATTTCATTAGCTCTACACTAACTAATTCACTAATTCTTTATAAATAATGGTTCTTAAAAAGTGTTACATTTAGAGAATCATTATTGCTTTTCTGTAGCCATATGCCTTACGATGAGGCAGCGGGAATCCTCTTCCTTTTATGTTGTATTGTTGCTTAATTTTGCAGATTCAGATAAACTGTGGTTCAGTCACCATGAATCGTCGAATTTGATGCTAGCAACTTTCAGAGATCAGATGGGTGTGCATCTGCAGACCACAACAGTTTGCACTTAGCAGTCTAAAACCGTGGGGTCTTTGCTACTTTCCTTATTTCTTACCAGTTACTAGCTTTCTCCGCTTCGCTTTTCTCACTTTGTTATTCTACAGTCTGATATCTTTTTTGGTACTACATTCTACTTAATAGGGATAATGTTGCGCAAGACAGATTCAACAGAGGTTGCTTGATCTTCCACCTATTCGGAACACAGTTACTGTGCGGATGTCAATTCTCCCAAGAGAAAAGGCGGATGCATAAGCCAAGTTAACTTGTGATCGTTGGTCTGGTGCTAGTAGATGCCCAAGAGACAGTGATCAAGTCAAAGGCGATGCATGAATGTTGCAGTAATCGGGGCACAAAATGCAGTCAAAGGCGTTCCGGGGCTTGTTTGAGTTGCTGGCTCCAGATGACTGCCACCTCACACCAGCTGAGAAGGAGACGCTGGACGAACCATATTGTATCGGACGGTGTTTCCTAAATATCCCAAAGGCAGAGGAGGAAAGTTGTAGTCTGAAATCTGGCTGTACGGCATACTCAAACTTGTTTATTTGTTCCTCTATGTTACATCTCACATTTGCTCTAGAGGCAACTGCAGTGACCTGATTGCTTAGAGAATATGAAGATTCTATGTGCTACAACAACAAGTACCAATAAAACATAAATTATCCCCCAATTTTTCCTTTTGATTTTTTAATAGACTCTAATGTATAGCTGCGAGGTATTTTTTTCTAACTCGAGGCCTTGCTTTCTATACCTAAAATAAGAGGATCTTTACATTCGCCAATGGGTAGTATATAATTGAATTTCTGTTGACTGATTGTTATTTAACTGTGGTAGTGTTCAGCTCTAACTATAGCTGCTGATTAATTATTATATAAGTTTTTTTGTGGGGAAGTTATTATATAAAGTTAATAGCATAGCTCAATGAAATTTGCGTTATTTACATGAAATAAAAAAAATATGCAAGTGCTCGATGATAGCACCTTTTGGCTGGGACTCGAGGCTCCATTACTTGGCTCAATCGTATACATATGCAACAAACATACTTGTATTGCATAAACATACTGGATCCCCACACACATACACACTACCACATAGCCTCTTGAAGATTGGAGTCACGGAGCTTGAAGAATGTGTTGAAAGTTGAATGGCTTTGGGCCTGTTAATCAAATAATTCGCGGATAAATCTCATACGCTCATGATATGGGTGTGAGTTTAGTCCCACATGGGATATGGAGGAGATGTTGCAACAACATATAAGGAACTATCTTCCACATCGCATTGGAGCATGAGAAGAGGAGTGGTACAAGCACTCCTCCTCGACCACACACCAGGTCCGGTGCACGCTTTCATGTCGTGTTTCATGAACGAGTCAGGCTCATACCCATAATAGATGTGTTAATTTCTACACAGAGCATCTCGGCGCGACTACCGTGGGTAACAACAATGGCACCCTGAAAAAGATTGCTGCTGCCACTTCTTTTGATGCCGCAACCTTGATCTTTCCTACTAGAGAGTATGATGTAGTGAAAACAAAGTGTGCTTAGGGGGTTCCTTTAGAACGTGGTCGAGACCGAGAATATCACAGGTGTCTTTAATAAAGCGAGCACAATAAATATTTATTTAGGGGGTGTATATACGACCTTATAGCGACTCGATGTTTTTGAATAGGTTCACCGACTCGACAGAGCGCGATGTAATCCTGTGTTAGGAAGGAGTTGAGACTCCTTAATTGGCACCCTCTTCAAGCTTCTCCTCGACAACAATTAGTCGTACAAGACTCCGCGGATTGGACGTTGAGCTCCCTGAACAAGTCTTGGAGCTTTAATTAGTGCCCTCCCCTAGATTATATCCAAGTAGGGGTGAATGAGTTGCATGCCCATGGGGGTGTTATATATGCTAGGAGTCCTTAAAAGGGACCAAGAGTACCCTTGAGATGGTAAATATGAATAGTATCAGAGGTAATATTTGGTCCATGGTGGATTAGAAAGGGGAAGGGAGTTCATAGTTCATAGTGGACCAATCCTTCTCACCCCTACCATGGTGGGCTTCTCTTCGTGGGCTTCCTTCTTAACTTGGGCATCTTTGCTTTTTAACTATTCCTTTGATGTCTTCTTCTTATCATTTTTCCTCCATTGACTTGTTTGACCATTAAAATTTGCTTAGACTTTATTGATTGCAATAAACTTCATTACACTATGATTGACTTGCCAAGTAGGACTAGGTAGGTCCCCCAGGTGCAATTAATTGTTCTCACTACAAGAGTCCCTTGAGTTGAGCCAGGTGAATCGTTGCGATTG